GCCGGTGGATGTACCTGGACAGCCGAAACTCACGGCTCCGGCACGAATCTGTAATAGCGTGACTTCAGCTTACACTCTCGTTACAAGTCTGATCAATCAGCGAACACTTGTAAAAAAAACGCTGGAAAATCAGCCAAAACATTAAAAAAAAACCTGAAAAATCAGCCAAAACATTACAAAAAAAAACAGAATTATCAGCCAACACATCGCCCACATGTATGGGAAATCAGCGTCCAGACCCTAAATCAGCTTTTTTTTCGCTGACTTCTGAGCAGGCCTCACGTTTTCAGAGTAAATTACTCTGTTTCTCTGAAAATCAGAGTCATTTTTGAAAGTAACTCTGTACCCGCTGGGTATTTTTTTTGGGACTTCCGATTTCTCTGATTTGTCAGAGTTATGCTGTAGTTTACTCTGAGGCCTCTGGGTTTTTTTTTTCGGGGACCGAATTTACTCTGTATAGGAAAACCTGCCGGCCCCCCTCCCCCTCCCCCCCTCCCCTCCCCCTCCCCCCCTCCCCTCCCCACCCCCCCCTGCGTTTAGCGGGTTTTCCCCGAATCGTCGAGATCATTCTCCTGATTTCTGTCGTGTGTTGGCGGCAATATGAGCGCTGATTGGCTACCGTAGTTTGACAACTTTCCCAACCAGCGCACGATGCCAGCCAGTCCCCTCTCTCTTTATGTCTGAAGTGAACGTCGACGTTTCCCGACGAAACTTTGAGGGACGTCGAGGAATCCTGACGGTCGGAACGCTCAATCCGAGGGTTGAGATTCGCCAGCATTCCCCGACGAAACTGTACATCCGTCGACATTTCACTTCAGACACTGTACTGCCGCCAACACCTCACTCTGAAACATCGCAGTGAGGGGGGAAACGTGGGCGACGCGGAAATGAAACACAATGCAAGTACAAAAGGCGTAACAAAAACCTATTAAGGTCATGGTACACCAAACTTAACTAACATCAGAGTAGAGAAAAATATTACTCTGACGTGCCTGGGTTTTTTTTTGCAAGTATTGGGTTACTCTGACAAATCAGAGTAAGGCGCAGGAACAACCCTAGATTTCAGAGTTGGGAAAAAAATACTCTGGAAATCAGAGTACCTAAAATCCAAAAATAGGCCCTGCTTCTGAGGCCCTGCTCTCCCCCAAGCTAACCCGAGCTCAGCGAGAATCTCCGCCATGATCGGTCTTGGCCAATCGTCATTTCGCATTTGCATGACTCACAGCGTAAACTGCACGCCATGCGCCAATCACGGTGTGAGCAAATATTCTCGTTATTGAGTGCAGGGGTCAACACAATCCATACACAGGTTAGGATCATTTACAATGTTTGCAACACTTCAACATACTGCATTCAGATTATGCTGTTGAATTAAGCATACAGAGATTATGTCAAAAAAAGTGTCTTCTTCTGGTTTTGTGTCCTAGGTACCGTAATTAGGCACCTTGGTATACACACCCACTTGTGTGAATTATATTCCGACCAGTCACAAAAACCAGTCAGTATCACCTCACCTCATCATTACTCTTCTGCACTGTGTGCGCACTGGAAGGTAGAATCTAGATTTGTCTAGACATTTATCAGCCAATAAACATGCGTGCGTTAGTGCACCTAGTATATATTACAAGATTGCAGAGGTAGCTATCTAAGAGACACACTCAAGTAGCCATAGGAGAACAGAGGTTTCTGTCTGTACTGTACTTCCACAGAACAATTCCCTGTGCTTGCTTCTGTGGCGCCAGCAGCTTCAAAACCTCCAAGTAGGTCGTGCTGCTGCCTTGGTGGCGCTGCCAGCATTGCCCTTCCCTCTGCACTTCACAGCGTGCTCTCTCTCCTGCTGCTGCCTCATGCTGCTTGCTGTGGGCTTCTGGTGGGCTAGAGCACCACCACGTGCATTCCATGCCTTCCCCTCCACACCACCCACCTTCACACGCGCTCCTGTGCTATCTACATTGGGAATCCGCCAGGGCAGAACCACTCTCAGCAGCAGCAGCAGCAGCGACAAGAGCAATGAGTGCAGAAGCAGCAGCAGCAGCAGCAGCAGCGACAAGAGCAATGAGTGCAGAAGCAGCAGCAGCAGCAGCAGGGCGGCGTGCAGTGTGTTGAGTGCATCAGCAGTGGCACCACCTGATCCCACTGCAACCTCCGCCACCAACCACCTGCCGCCATCACTATGCATCCTCACGTCCTTTCCTGAAATCGTGTCGTTGCTGACAGAACAGCTGACAGAACTCGTCCCGTTGCTGCATGACGTCTCGACGGCGACGCTGCCAGTGCTCGTTTGGTCGCAGTCAGTCCGCAGATCCTCCTCCTCCTCCTCCTCCGCATTCTCTGCAGCCGCCGCGCATGCAGCGGAGAAGCTCAGCGGCACTTGCAGTTGGGACTGATTTTCCGTCGACTCAGAAGTCGCCTCAAGACTTGGCTCACAAGGCACCGCGCATGCAGTCGCGGAGCTCGGCGTCACTTCAAGATGTGCGCGGGACTGCGTAACCTCTTCGCGCTTCCTCCAGATGTTTAGGACTTCCGCGAACGACGACGAGGTGTATGCAGGCGCGGAAGCGTCGGCCATTCAATCGAGCGAAGTGTGAGGCCGAAACCGAGCGGTGGAACTAGCAGAGACGAGCCTTGAGGGAGCACTGGTTGCTGTTGCAGCCTCGGGTGCAAAGCTTGAAGTACCGGAGAGAGCTGAAAGCTTAGGATGTTCTGAGCTGGCAAGGATAGTAGTGCTGCAGCTGTGGGAGCTGGCTCGAGAAACGAGATACTACGAAACTGGCGATCGAACTTAGCTGGAGAGTTGAAATCGAAGAAGAAAGAGTGCGGGTTTGTACTCGGAGCTTAGAGCGACGAATGAGGGTGAGTAGAGGGAGTGCAGGTTTGTACTCGGAGAGGCGATCGCAGGCGACGAGGGGAGAGCGAGAGGGTTGCTGCGACAAGGCGGGGTGGAGGAGAGCCGAGGCATTGGGAACTCACGCAGCGGGCAAGAACGAACAGAACGAAGCTAATTCCGAAGCAGTGTCAAGCCTCTGGCCGTATCCCCCGGGGAAGTGACAGAACGCTTCAGTCCGGTTGATTGCCTTGTCCAGACGGTGAGGCTCGTTCATTCGATTCGAACCTGCCGGTCAAGCGATTATGCAGGAAGGAGTTGCTAAGCGAGTCGCACTGGGAACTCACGCAGCGGGCAGGCACGGGCAGAACTAACTTGTGCGCTGTCGGTGTGGTTTCGCGAAACGCGAAGGGGAACGAAGCTATTTCCGAAGCTAGATGGCCGTGGCCTCCGGGAACCTGACAGAGCGGTTCAGTCCGGTGGTTAGCCTTTAGCTGACGGTGTGGATGGTCCATTTTGACCATCCCTGCTCCCGCTGCTCGCGAAGGTCTGCGTGTGCAAAGGCGGAGGCGGTTTGGGATTCGGAAGAACACTAAACGTATGCGAAACGCATTTACGACAGGATGGACAGACGCCGCCGAACCAAAACGGGTCTGGTCTGGTTACTCGTCTTCGAAATGGCGGGAAGTGACTGCCAAGAAGTAATTTTGAATCGACTTGGACGGCAGTGTCTAGGGATTCTTGAGATGGGCTTGTACTAAAGGGATCAGAGGGGGATGAACTCGAGATGGGAGATCAAGATTCTGTACTCTCTCTAGTATGTCTCTATATAACATTCCTGAAATATAAACAAACAACTCTGCATCCAAATCATGTCTTGTACTCATGGTGAAACATCTGTGTCTTCATTTTTTCGAGCTGGAAAAACTTATCACAAGTTGGGTCACATCACAATGGTCGAGCCTTTCCCTTTGTATCTAGTCAGGTAGTAGCACCAATCATATATTACAGCTACGTTGTTCTACACCTATATTGGGCAGTTGAGACCAGGCAGCGTTTGACTTGACAGCTGCATATGCCCTGCCACCTTTTTCTCACCACGTACAACCACACTCACATATCTAGCACCACTGAACCTACATTCTTGCCTTCATAAGCAGCTGACAGAAGTAGCACCAATAATTATGTTTCATGGCTACATGCGTTAAGTCCAAACACCCGTCTCCTCGTGTTCCTTTCCAAGACTTGCCTCTCCTCTCTTCCTCCTTCCCTATGCGAGATCACCTCAGATGCCCTCACCCACGGAGCCCATATCAGAAGGCAGCAGCAGCATCTGCCCTTTGCTTGATGAGGTCAGCTCGTTGGCTCTTCCTCATTGCCTCCACCAGCTACGTCACTCCCTCCCTCACCCCCGTGCTGCACACACATTGCCATGCACACATGCACGCACATTGCAATGCACACATGGTTGTGAACGCAGTCAGACACAAACCCCCTCTCCCTCACACACATAGACACAGATTCACACGCACACAAACACGGTGACACACACACAAATGCACATACGTTATGCTTCCAGCTTAGTCACGGAGTGGTGTGGTGACAGGGCAGTTAGGCCACACCCCCAACAATCCCAAGATTCAACCAGCTTGTTCACGCACCCGCACAAGATGTCGTGTCACAGAGAATTCACAGCGCAAAAAAAAGGCCTCTCTTGGTCTTTAGGCTCCCCACCTCCCTTACAATCCCCAGGTTCCATCACTTACCTGACCTCCAGTTGCATTGCCCAAACACACCCGCAGCTGTCCCCATACCCTCAATTCTTCCCCCACCCACATCACCCCTCTCAACCATCATACGCTCATCTCGCATCACACCCCAGGCCTAGCGCACCCTCAGCAATGCCAGCCCACCACAATCTCCCCCCCATGCCCCGCTCACCTTGACCCCTCCCATCCCTTTCCCCCCTCCCCTACCCTCCCCACTCTCCCCTCCCCCTCCCCCTCCCCTTCCTCCTCCCCCTCCCCCTCCCCCTCCCCCTCTCATCCCTCTCTCACCCATCATAGGCGCACACAGGCATGACCATTGCAGAGCGCCCCTTGAGGTCCCTCAGCTCCAGGCAGTGCGTCAAGTCCTCCTCGCCCACTGCCTCAGGTAGGTCCTGTGTGGGTGGCGATCAGAAGCAGGTGGGAGGGGGAGGTGAGCCAGCGTAAAAGCGTGCAGATAGGTAGCGATGAGATGAGGCATTTGAGAAGGGTCGTCCCTTGAGCTCCCTCAGCTCCAGGCAGTGCGTCAAGTCCTCCTCACCCACTGCCTCTCTGGTAGGTCCTGTGTGGGTGCGCACAGGGGGAGGTGGGAGAGGAAGGCGGGAGAGGGAGGTGGGAGAGGAAGGTTGGAGAGGAAGGTTAGAGAGGGAGGTGAGAGAGGAAGGGGGGAGAGGGAGGCAGAAGAGGGATGTGTGAGGGGGTTGCGGCAGGGAGGTGAGGCATGGAGGTGTTAAGGATGAGTGGCAGGCGGTGATGAGACTTTCCGGGCTTGAGCAGCAGGTGGTGATGAAAGAAGGTGACTGCTGCAGGCAGTGAGTCAAGTCCTCCACACCCACTGCCTCTAGTGGTAGGTCCAGTGCAATAAGCACAGGGAGGAGGGCAGGGAAGGTGGGAGATGGGATAGAGATGGGCAGCGGAGGCGAAAGAAGAGGGTTATTCCACCTCCCCCCCCAATCATCATTCCACCTCCCCCCCCCAATCATCATTCCACCCCCCCCACAAATCATCATTCCACTTCCCCCCCAAATCATTATTCCACCTCCCCCCCCAATCATCATTCCACCTCCCCCACAAACCCATCTCCCCCTCTCCACACCCTGCGCCAGCACGATGCTGCTCTCTGAGAAGGAAAGATGGCTATGATACAGCCTACACCACACTGCTCTCACACTCTACCTACTCCCACTACTATTAGGCAACATTCATTGCAGTTACGTTTTAACCACCAAGAACGTGAAAGCTCCAAGTACGGACTACAACACCTTGCATGCTTCCTTCTCCCGCGCTCCACTTTCCCCATGCCTCCCTCCCACCTCTGCCATGCATGGGGGGGCAAGGTGAAGGCACAGGGGAGGGGAGGGGAAGGGAGAATGATTGAGAGAACGGGGGGTAGGGAGAAGCGAGGCAGAGGGGAAGGGGAGGGGGTGGGGGGAATAGGGTGAAGATAAATATTATGTTTTGTAGAAGGGAAATGGGAAAAGTCAGTAATTAGCGGGCCCTTTACTGACTGTGCTCCGTCGCCCGAACACCACCATCCCCACCGAGTCGTGGTTCCGATTCATGCAATCGATCGCACTCGGCCAAATAACGGGGATACTCATGTGGATCACCCTGTGCTGGTCGCTGGCAAGGTGTTAAAAAAGAACTTAAAAATGTTCGTCGATGGAGGGGCCAGCCATAGCCACTTCAACCTGGCGACAGCAAAAAAATGCAAGCTGCAACTTGACAGGTGTCTGCCCGAAATCGACGCTCGCCTCGTGGATGGGACGCCTCTGGCAATACTGGAGGAAACACGGACGGTTCGGATTGAATGCGGCGACGATTTCGGCTTCAGCATGAAGTTCCTCGCGACGACACTGGATGGCTGCGACGTGCTGTTGGGACGTGATTGGCTGCGACGGCACAACCTCGTCATCGATTGGACTACGGGATCGTGCTGCATCAGCAAGCACGAGGGGCTAATTAAGCTGCCTGCATGGACACCTGACTACATCCAAGCCCCGTGCGTCAAAGTTGTCACTATAGCTCGACACTTCAACAAGGGCGCACAGCTGTTCGCTGTTTGCTTACGCGAGTTGATGGTTGACACCGACGGAAAAGACATCTAGAAGCTGTGTGCAGCTTGTGAAGAATTAAACAGGAATGAATGAACTAGGAAAGTGTGAGATACAAATATGAAACCTGTATCCCTTAGTGTCTACCCCACTACAGCCTACATAGGCTAAGGCATATACATCTGACACACCCCCATAGGCAAAGTGGGGGAGAACTAGGGGTCACAAGACCAGTCAAGAAAAGCAAAGCAAAGCAAGCTCAGGGTGGATCACAACGTCACCACACAGTCTGAGCACCGGTTCAAAGGCCACAACGCCAGTTCACATGCAAGTTCATATATAAAGGTAAACAAGCAAGTGCAGGTATATATAGATCACAGTACAAGGAAAGTCAAGAGGTAAGCAAGTGAGGCCAAGTAGGCACAAGACCTAATAGATTACAGAAGCGCTGATGATCACAAGGCTGAAGTGCCTTGGTAAAGATATCAGCAGTGTTGGCCTGAGAGGCCACGTAAGCAAGGCGCAGCTGACCACGCTGCTGTAGCTCACGAGCAAGGAAGTAGCGAAGAGCAATGTGCTTCGTTCTGTGCTCCAGTCTGTGCTCCCGACACAAGGCCAGCATAGCCTTGTTGTCTACGTACAGAACTGGAGGAGAACGAGGCGGCTCTCCCAGGTCAGTCAGCAAGTAGGTGAGCCAGCGTAACTCCTGTGCAGCCATGGCCCCTGCGTAGATCTCAGCCTCACAGCTGGAGCTGAGAACAGAAGACGAGCGAGTGGACCGCCACGAAACAGAGCCGGAACCAAGGCTGAAGGTGTAACCCTGTGACGACCGCTGAGTAGCCAGGTCGTCAACCCAAGACGCGTCTGCGTGACCAGTGAGAACCACTGGACTCCGCCCTCCAAGCACTAGCCCCAAGCCCGAAGTACTGCACAAGTAGCGCAACACCCTCTTCGCTGCAGCCATGTGCTCTGGTCGGTGTCTCCCAGGAGCAACATAGCGTGCCAAGATGCTCAGAGGGTATGCTAGGTCAGGTCGAGTGCAGGTCATCAGGTACATGAGGCAGCCAACAAGCTCTGGGTACGGGCCACTCGGCTCTACGGACTCATCCGAAGGCAGAGCTGAGAGCGAGTGGCGAGTAGACAGAGGAGTGGCTTGAGGCGAGGAGTACGTGAAGTCGAAGCGCTGAAGGACCTGCTGCACCATGTGTGACTGAGTCAGGGTAATGGTGCGCCGTGCTCTGTCCCGGGTGATCTGCAAGCCAAGATAGCTGCGCAGTTCACCCAGGTCAGTGCACGTGTGTCTCTTCTGCAGCTCGGACTTCACGTGGGCGAGTCCAGCAGTGTCAGCTGTAGCAAACACCAAGTCGTCGACGTACACGAGGATGTAGAACGGCGGCAGCAAAGTGTCGGTGCGAAGAAACAGCGACGGGTCAGCAGTGGAAGGAGCAAACCCAAGAGCCGCAAGCGTAGTCCTCAGTGTGTCGTGCCACTCACGTGGCGCCTGGCGGAGACCGTAGACTGGCCGCCGGAGGCTCCACTGGGTACCAGGAGGAAACGACCCAGTGAAGCCAGGTGGGCGGCGCAGCCAGATCTCCTCGTGCAGACTGCCCTGTAGGAAAGCAGTGCTGAAGTCAAGGGAGTGAAGCTCGTAGTCACGCTGAGCAGCAACGTGCAGCAGAACCCGAAGAGTGGTCATCTTCGGGGTCGGGGAGAAGGTCTGAAAGTAGTCAACTCCCTGCCGCTGACTGAAGCCTCGAGCCACGTAGCGCGCCTTGAAGACAGGCGGAGAACCCGGCGGCCGCTTCACCCTGAAAATCCACATGCCACTGACAATGTTCGCCCCAGGAGGGGGAACCTCGTCGACATAGGTGCCTGTGGACTTCCAGGAAGCCATCTCTGCGTCCATGGCTGCCTGCCACTGAGAGGAGTAAGGACCCTCTATCGCCTCTGCGTAAGAGCGCGGGGTCGGGATGTCTGGTGCATCCGGGTCTCCCTCAGGGGCAAGCAGCAGCAAAACACTGGAACTCCTCCTGTCGGTCGACATAGGTGCCTGTGGACACGAGATGAGGTAAAGCAGCAGCAAAACACTGGAACTCCTCCTGTCGGTCCTCAAGGACGTCCGTGCTAAGAGCACACTCACCCCCGACGGACGGAGGACAGACAGACTCAGACTCAGCAACAAGACTAGCGGCGTAGTCTAGACGACAGTGAGCAGCGAAGTCGACAAGCTCGGCAACTAAGGCAGACGTAGCAGTGGACTCAAAGGAAGGGTCAGTGACAACAGTGGCTAGGACACGCGTGACAGTAGGACTGGCAGCACGAAGGGAGTCAGACTCCGGGTCAGCAAGAGCAGGAAGAGAGGACGCTGGAGGAGACGGCAAAGGGACACGCTGTGACGCAGTGGAAGGACACAGTGCCATCTGATGCGTGCCCGGGACCGCAGGAGGACGCTGACGGGGAACACGACGACTAGTGTGAGTAGGACGAACAGGCAACGCTGGACGCGACTCAGGCTCACGACGCTCAGCAAGACCTCCAGTAGGACCAGCGTAGGGAGAAGGAGCAGGCAGAGGGGAGACCAGCTGTAACTGTGACTCGGACTGGACAGGCGGAGGACACTCTAAGGAAGGAGCAGGACTAGAAGAAGGCGGAAGACCAAGAACCTGCTCAAGGAGCGGAACGAAGTACGGCCGCGGCCGCGCAGCACCTCCAGAACCAGCAGGGACAACACCAGTACCCCCAGCGTCAGCTCCAACTCCAGCAGCACCACCAGCTCCAGTACCTCCAGCAGCTCCAGCTCCAGCAGAACCACCAGCAGACACAGCCGCTCTGGCTCCAGCACCTCCAGTAGCACCCACTCCAGCAGCACCACCAGCTCCAGCTCCACCAGTAGCTCCAGCACCAGGAGCACCACCAGGCCCAGCAGCTCCAGTACCTCCAGTACGAGCACCTCCGGGACCCGTGGCTCCAGCACCCCCAGCAGAAGCAGAACCTCCAGTACCGGCTCCAGCAGCACCTCCAGCTCCAGAACCTCCAGCAGCAGCAGAACCTCCAGCACCGGCAGCACCTCCAGCTCCAGCAGCACGGCTCCAGCGGCGAGCAAACCACTCGCGCAGCTCCTGTGGAGAGGGAAGCTCCCGCCGGGACAAAGCACCCGAAGGACCGCCAGATCCAGCACCGACAGGCTCCACACCCCCACTCCCAGCAGCCCCAGGCTCAGCACCCCCAGAAGCAGCACCCCCAGGCCCCGCACGCTCAGGCTCAGCACCCCCAGACCCAGTACCCCCAGGCTCCGCACGCTCAGGCTCAGCACCCCAAGACCCAGCACCCCCAGGCTCCGCACGCTCAGGCTCAGCACCCCCAGACCCAGCACCCCCAGGCTCCGCACGCTCAGGCTCAGCACCCCCAGACGCACCAGAGTCAGCAGCTACCTCGACAGGCTCGACTGCATCTACCTGGGACATACCTGAGGGGGCAGGACCCTGAGGGGGGAGGGGGTCTACCGGGGGGGGACCGGGAGCGAGGAAGAGCGGCGGGGGGGGGAGGGGGGCAGTGCGGTAGGGGAAGAGATGGTAGTACGGAACCGACTCGTCAAACGTGACGTCCTGGGAGGACAGAACACGACGCGAGGTGGGGTGGTAAAACTGCCAACCAGGCGCGTCAGGGGGAAAGCTGAGGAAGACGCAAGGAACAGCACGGGAGGACAGCTTGTCCGCAGACAAGTCTCGGACGAAAGCTCGAGATCCCCAGACACGGAACGCAGACGCATCACCAACCTTCCCCGTCCACTGCAGAGTAGGGGAGGTCTCCGGCAGGGAGACCCGGGGCTGAAGGTTGATCTGATGCGCCGCGTACTGAACCGCGAACGGCCACAGAAAATGGGGAGCAGCCGCATGGATCATGGACGTACGAGCGACATCCATGACCATGCCAATGCGGCGCTCAGCAATCCCATTTTAATGTGGAGAGGCCGGAGCAGGTCCGGGACGGGGCCGAGACGGGGCCGGGGTAGGGCCGGGACAGAGCCTTTTAGGGGCGGCGTAGGGGCCGCGTAGGGGCGGCGGAGGGGCCGCGTAGGGGCCGCGTCAGGTACGGGGCCGGGTCGGGTCATTTAGGGGCTGCGGAGGAGCCGCGTAGGGGCGGCGTAGGGGCCGCGTAGGGGCCGCGTCAGGGACGGGGCCGGGTCGGGCCGTTTAGGGGCGGCGTAGGGTCCGCTTAGGGGCCGCGTAGGGGGCCGCGTAGGGGCCGGGTAGGGGCCGCGTAGGGGCCGCG